ACAAAAGCTGAAGGAAGTGGTGCGTCCCGACAAGCGCCCAGACCTGTATTTATGGCCGACGCCATCCTATCCGGGAGGTTGGCCCATCAAAGGAGTGCTGCTCCCGGTAGCTCGGTGCGTGCCACTGAGGGGGGCTCAACGACCAATGTTGATGGAGCTGGCAGGGGAGTTGAGGAATCGGATTCCCAAATTGCCCGGGAGGATGTGGACGAGCTTGTGAAGGGCCTTACACACATGAAGATGAAGACGGATGGGTCCGACTATCTAATTATGATCCTTGGGGATTACAATTTATTGTTGAACAGCGAATAGGCCGCGTTGGCCCTTACTCTATTATGCGCCACCCATGAGAGTGAGACGCTTAGTGCCATCAATGATATAGAACATTCACGAAGGGTTGCCGACATGGCTTTGCAGGTATCCCTCACTCCTCCTTTGCGCATTGTAGGGTTGACCTGATGCGTGCTGACTTCTTTTTTTCTTTTCAGACCCTCGTTTTAGAGGTGGAGAGAAGGCGTCGTGAGCAAAAGAAGGTTGCCATCTTTGATAAGATGGTGAAAAAGTATTGACGGTACCGCTGTAAGCATCGAGCGACGGTGGATCCTTTTCAGCATGACCCCAAGTTTCGGGTGTTCCGCGAGGGGCTTGAGCAGTGGGAGGCCAAGTTAGAGCATAGGGGGGCCGAGCTGGAGAAGACAGACAACGAGTTGATCAGGGTTGTGGCCCGTAACAGCGAATTTGAAGCACCTCAAAGGCAAAAGATGTTGAGCTCGAGCTTAGTCAGGGGTAGCGGCGGAGAATGTCAACCTCCAACGGAGGGTAGCGAACTTGACCGCTGAGCTTGAAGACAGGATGGTGGAGATAAATAGTCTTAGGCAGGTTGCTTCCCTAAGGTCGGAGGGCACGGTTTGACCTTCTCAGCCCTCTTCATCTCGTCCTACGTCTGGTCAGAATGCGTGTCGCATCGCGCACGAGATGTGGATTTTTTCGGAGGCCAAACTTGATGTGTATAGAGAGCTTCACACCTAGGGCCGGGCAATGGAGGAGGAAATTCAGATGCAATGACGCAAAGCTTGCATTGCTCTCGAAGTGTGCGAGTACTATTCCGACTCCCCTGATGGGGAAGGTTGTACTTTTGAGGACATCGATCGGCTAGACTCGGATTCCTGGTATAATGAGGTTTAACACCCAGAGCACGACGGGCTGGATGATGAGCAGCCATGAATTTGTATATATTTTTTGCGTTTGTGGAATGTAATGGGGCCCGTTTGTGGGTCGAATGTAAATATATTTTTTGCTGTGATATAAACTTCGTTTTTGTTGCTTTTTTTGCTTGTTGTTTTTCTCTCCTCGGGTTTTTCCTTCCACTTTTTTTTGTACTTAACCCCGGTAGAGGTGGTGTTTGTTGCTTTTTGAAAAGACCGCCGTGTTTTGAACGAGGTCGATATGATGTCGACGTCCTTAGCCATGAGGATATTACTTTGACTGTCATCGAAGTACTATCCATCGTGGTCGAACGAGGTTGATGGACTTAGCCATTAGGATGCTGCTTTGACTATCGTCGAAGTGTTATCCGTCGTGGTCGAACTGGGTTGAACCTGATGTCGATGGCCTTATCCAATAGGATGCTGCTTTGACTGTCGTCGAAGTGTTATCCGTCGTGGTTGAATTGGGTTGAACCTGACGTCGATGACCTTAGCCAATAGAATGTTGTTTCGACTGTCGTCGAAGTGTTATCCATTATGGTCAAACTGGGTTAAACCTGATGTCGATGGCCTTATCCGTCGTGGTCGAACTAGGTCGAACCTAATCAATTTTCATATGGCCTTAGCCATTGTCGATTTTCATATGGCCTTAGCCGTTGTCGATTTTCATATGGCCTTAGCCATTGTCGATTTTCATATGGCCTTAGCCGTTGTCGATTTTCATATGGCCTTAGCCGTTGTCGATTTTCATATGGCCTTAGCCATTGTCGATTTTCATATGGCCTTAGCCATTGTCGATTTTCATATGGCCTTAGCCGTTGTCGATTTTCATATGGCCTTAGCCATTGTCGATTTTCATATGGCCTTAGCCATTGTCGATTTTCATATGTTGGAGAATTCTATTTATACAATGGATATTTCTTTTCATACAATAGAGAAACTTGTCTGTACAATGGAGAATTGTCCATACAATGGAGGTTGGCTAGTATAGTCCCTTCATTACATTGGTCTAGAGACCGTGTCAGCCGGTCTATGTGATGAATCTACGCTCGGATACTACTGGATTTGCCCTTCGCCGCCTTGTTAAAAACCTCCCCGAGAAAACCCAATTGGGACAAAACTCGGGTGAGGGAAAAAGAGTGTGACTTGGGAGATGCCTTTCAGAAGTGTAAGTATTTGAGGTGGGCGATGTTCATGTTGTTTTGGAGTGTTTTTCCTTCCATTATTTCTAATTGGAATGCTCCTTTGTTCGTCGTTGCTGTGATTTTGTATGGTCTGTCCCAGTTGGTTCCCAATTTTCCCTCACTCGGGTCTTTTGACGCCAATGTTTTGGCTTTGAGGACGTAGTCGCCCACTTTGAGCAATCTTATTTTGGCTTTCTTGTTGTAGTATCTTTCTGCCTGATGTTATTGGGCTGTCATTCTTATATGGGCCATGTCTCTTCGTTCTTTGGCTTCGTCTAGATCTTGCAATCTGCTTTTGTCGTTATCTGCCTCGTTGGTATCGGAATATCTCAGTCTTGGCTCCCCGATTTCAATAGGTATGACTGCGTCGGTCTCGTAGACCAGCGAGTACCGTGTTTCTTCCGTGCTGGATTTGGGTGTGGTGCGATATGCCTACAAAACTTCATGTAGTAATTCGGGCCATATCCCTTTAGCTTCCTCGAGCTTCTTTTTCAGTATGTTCAATATTGTCTTGTTGGAAGACTCGATTTGGCCGTTAGCGGCGGGATGATACGGAGTGGAGAGTATCTGCTTGATGTGCCACTTCTCGAAGAACTCATATGTCTTCCTACCAATGAACTGGGGGCCATTGTTACAACTGATTTCTTTGGGGATGCCAAAATAACATATGATGTTTTTCCATACAAAGGCGATAACTTCTTGCTCGCGTATCTGTGCGTACGCGCCTGCTTCCACCCACTTGGAAAAATAGTTAGTCAAAACTAAAAGAAAATGTACGTTTCCTTGTCCTGCTGGTAGAGGACCGATTATATCCATTCCCCACTTGATGTAGGGCTAGGGTGAGGTGACTGAATGGAAAAGCTCCCCCGATTGGTGTATCATGGGGGCATACCTTTGGCACTGTTTGCATCTTCGGACGTAATCTGCCGCCTCTTTTTTCATAGTAGGCCAGTAATAACTAGCGCGAATACCTGTATTAGCGCCATAGTGGCATTTATACACCTCTTCTAATACTTGTTTCGTTTGATGCGGCCCGAGGCACTTAGCAAAAGGACCGCCAAATGTTCTCTTGTAGAGGTCATGATTTATCAGGTTGTATCGGGCGGCTTGTACGCAGAGCTTCTTGGCTTCTTTCTTGTTGCGCGGGAGTGTTCCATCCTGTAGATAGGATACAAACTCGTTGCGCCAGTCCCAAGTTAGGTTTAAAGAGATTACCTCGATGTGATCGATGGCCGAATGGAGGAGGGTGACCACACTTTCTTTGTTGATATTCTTGGTGGCCGCGTCCAGTTTAGCTAAGCCATCTGCCTTGACATTTTGCGCCCTGGGGATTTGCTCGAAGAGACATTCGTCAAATTCAAGCATCATCTTATGGATTTCTGATTTGTATTTTTGTAGCCTTTGTTCTTTGATTTGGTAAGTCCCGATGACTTGATTTACTATGAGTTGGGAGTCGCAGTCGAGGAAGAGTCGACGAGCCCCGTATTTGATGGCTAATTTCATACCTGCAATCACAGCCTCATATTCGGCCTCGTTGTTAGTCATCTCGGGGCATCGTATGGACTGGCGAATTATTTCACCCGTAGGGACTTCGAGTACGAATCCTAGTCCCGATCTCGAGGCATTCGCGACACCGTCAGTGTAGAGAGTCCTGAGGTCAGTGTGGGTGGAGGTGCAGAGGGCCTCTTGCTATACCTCTGGCAATATCCCCGCGCTGAAGTCTACGACAAAGTTGGCAAGTACCTGCGACTTAATGGCGGTTCTTGGGTGGTAGGATATGTCATGCTCGCTGAGCTCTATGGAGAATGCTTCTCAGGGGGGAGGTTATTATTACTTTTATGGAATGACACTGAAAATAAGGTCTAAGCTTCCGTGAAGCTATGACCAGTTCCAGAGCCAGTTTCTCGAGGTGTGGATACCGTGTTTTGGCATCTATTATAGTTATGCTGATATAGTAAATAGGAGATTGAGTACCTTTTTTTTTGCGGACCAAAACTGTGCTGACAGCAACTTCGGACACTGCCAGATACACCAGCAAACACTCGCCTGGGTTTGCTTTGACGAGTAATGGCGACAAAGATAGATATGATTTTAGTTTCCTCGGGGCCTCGATGCATTCCCCGTTCCATTATAACCCATGATATTTCCTCAATACGCTGAAGAACTTGTGGAATCTGTCGGAGGACCGTGAGATGAATCATGATACGATGGCTATTCGCCCCGTCAATTTCTGTACCTACTTCTTGCTGTTCAGAACCTTAGGTATCGCATCTATGTCCTCAATCTGATCCGGATTGACCTCGATACCTCGTTGTGATACGAGGAAACCTAGGAATTTTCCCGAGGCCACGTCGAAGGCGCATTTTTCTGAGTTCAATTTCATCTCGTACTGCCTCAGTATCCCGAAGGCTTCTTTCAAATGATCGATATGGTCCTCCTTTTTTGCCGACTTTACTAGCATGTCATCGATGTAAACCTCCATTGTCTTGTCAAGATGTTCCTTCAACATCTTGGTGACCAACCTTTTCTACGTTGCTCCCGCGTTTTTGAGTCCGAAGGGCATCACTTTATAGCAGTACGTCCCTTGGTGGGTGATGAAAGTCGTCTTCTCTTAATCCTCTTCGGCCGTCATAATCTGGCTGTAGCCGGAGTAGGCATCCAAGAAACTTAGTAGTTCGTGCCTTGCGGTTGCGTCGATCAGCTGGTCGATATAGGGCAATGGGAACGAGTCTTTTGGGCATGCCTTGTTCAGGTCGGTGAAATCTACGCACATTCTCCATTTCCCATTTTTCTTTTTAACCACGACGACATTAGCGACCCATTGCGAGTATTTCGATTCTCTAATGGAACCGTTGGCTAGTAACTTGTCCACTTCTTCACTGACTGCCTCGTTGATTGAACGTTGAATTTCCTTCTTATCTACCGTACATACGGATATAGTGAGTCGACGTTCAGCTTATGAGTGGTGATGTCTTTTGGGATTCACAACATATCTGAATGTGAGAAGGTAAATAAATCTGCATGGTTAGTTAAGAATTCGTGGTACTTACTTGGGTCGGAGAGATTGTGCCCGATGTAGGATTTCTTTGAATGGTCAGTGTCGCCAGTTGGACCAGTTCAAGGTTCTCAACTGTTGCTTTGCAAGCTTCTACGACATGTGGGTCCCTTATGTCTTCTGCCATCAGGTTAATTCTAGTTCTCGACATGGCTGGTTGCTATGCTTCCGCACTTGCTCCCTTCAGTTGTTTGGTATTTGTACAGTCTTGGGCGATCCGGTAACATTCCTGAGTGGTACGTGGCTCGCCTCGAATGCTGAATATTCCCCATGGGGTGGGAAATTTGATTACCTGGTAGAAGCTCGAGGGAACGGCTCGCATGGCGTATATCCAAGGACGCCCTATAATGGCGTTATAAGCCGTTTCCTGATTCATGACGTGGAATATGGTTTCCAACGTGACTCCCCCTGCTAAGACTGGCAATGATATCTCTCTGGAGGTCCGCTCTACTGCATTGTTAAAACCTGTTAGTGTTATGCAACGCGGTATTATCTTATCTTTGGGCCTCATTTGCATGAGGACTCTTGGATGGATAATACAAGCGCCGCTCCCGTCGTCTACCATGATTCTCTTTACAACAGTATCAGCGATACGTAAAGTTATAACTAAAGCATCGTAATGAGGTAAAGACAAACCGTCAGTATAAAACTTATCGAAGGCGATACTGTCTTCGAAGTCATCAAACCATTTGTGAGTGATCGTGCGCTTCAACTTGTGTGTGGTGGTGAACTTTACATGGTTGATTGCTGAGTCATCGCCTCCACCGACGATCATCTATATGGTACGTGCTGGAGAAGGTGGTTTTGATGGTCCTTGAGATTGGTCGCGTCCACTGGCGAAATTGGCCTTTCCCTTATTGCTAAGCAGCTCCTTCAGGTATCCTTGGTTCAGCATTCTGACTACCTCCTGTTGTAGACCTATGTAATCTTCGGTCTTGTGTTCTCTTTCTTGATGGAATTCGCATAGGACGTTCGACCTTCTTGCACTAGGATCTGATTTCATTTTATGCGGCCACTGCACCTTTGTGCCCAGCTTCTACAGTGCGTACACTATTTCTGAAGGGGACACACAAAAGTTATTAGCAGATAATAATGGGGGCATACCTCTTTCACTTCAAAGTGGGGCGACATGTCGCTGCACATCGTCTGGGTGCCTCGGAGGAGGTGGATTGGGAGTTCTGACGTAGGGCTGATGCCTTTCTTTATTGAAGCGTGGGGGTTGTTCCCGTCGCTCGTTGTTGCGTCGATCCCTCCTTATCTCTGACTGTACTGACGTTAGTCGTTGGGTTGGACCGTTAAGATCGTCTTCGTCTGCTCTTACTTCGACGCAGTAGGCATTGTGGATCTCTTCCCATGTGGTGGGGGGATACTTCATGAGTCGGCTGAGTAGCTTCTTGGTTGCTTTTGACCCGTCCCTATTCAGCCAGGAAGTCCCTGAGTCCTTCACCCGTTGTTTACCTGATGGCAAAGATGTCGTTGACCCTAGCTTCGGCCTTCTTTGCTCCTGCATGAGCGATGGCGAATTTGTCTGCCATCTCTTCGAACGTTGATATTGATCTAGCTGGTAGTTGAGAGGACCACGTTAACGCCCCTCCTGTCAAATTTTCACTGAACTTTTTCAGCAGCACGGACGACACTTGTTCTTTTGATAGGTCATTGCCTTTTACGGCGGTCACAAAATGGATCAGAAGATCTTCGGGATCCGTAGTCCCGTCATATATTCTCAAGTATGGTGGCATCTTGAAGGTTTTCGGGATTGGGTGAGGGGCAGCTTCCTCACTATACTGTTGTTCGACGAACCTTCCCACGTCGCGTTTCGGCAGTAGCTTAGGGACACCAGGAATTTTGTCTACCCTTTCCTCGTTCTCTTTCGTTTGATCACGAAGCGCTTTGTTCTCATTCTCCATTTCTTCCATTTTCTTAAGGATGGTTGCGAGTGCATCATCGCTGGTGTTGGTATCGATGTGAGCGTTGTTTGTTCGTACAACACTGGGCTCGCCGGTGGTGGCATCGATATCTGCCGTTGACGAATCTCTGATATTTCCATGAGGTGGTTTTTCGAGCATGCTACTTAGAGTGTTTGTCAACCATTCCTCTAGTAGCTTTTTGACTACTGGGGGTGTTTCCTTGGCTGCAGATGTCAAATCTTCGAGTGAATAGGGTGATATCTCCCCTCTGATACACTACTGGGTGTTGTATTCGTGGTATTTTCTCTACCGGCTTCGTTGAGGGGGCCTATGAGGTTGGTTGCGACATCTGCTATCATCTTCAGCCTTGATTCTTTCTCTGCCATTTGTTAGTCTCTATGGAGTCTGAAGGACAGTGATTGTTGTTTTTGGTATCCTAGGCGTGAACTATGATTTCGAATATCGAAATCCCCACAGACGGCGCCAAATTATTTGACTCAAAAGTTATCAAACACCTTCCGAGCAAATCAATCGAAAGAAAAGAAGGGGTAAATCGTAACCGAAGATAATAAGACTCTAGGATATATTTAATGCCCTATTTATAATAGTCACATTATATGTGTGAGAGAGAGAGAGAATGTTAGAGAGATGAGAGAGAGAAAGAGAGTTTGCAATAATCTGTCCCCCTTTTTACAATACTTGGATCCCCTTTATATAGTAGAGGATCCTTCTTGAAATATTAAAGAATAGAAATTAAATACACGCTATAGAGGGACCGATGGGACTATGGAGTCGTTCCTCCCACTACCCTTGAGTCGTGCTTCTACCTTCGCTTGTACACGTTCGGCGGTTGGTCACGCTGATCTAGGGACGTGATTGATCAAATTCGACCCGATACAATATCTTTAAGGACAGTATCCTTATAACACGCCTCAAGCTACATCTTATTCTCCCTACTCCAATATTTTTACAATATGTACACCCCTGCGAACAAGGTTACCTAACCTCCAAGAATTGTACTGCATGCATTAATACTTGTAATTTGTAAGCCATGGAATCATGTCTATTTATGTTACACTTTTGACTTATTATATAAACTTATTAGTAAAAATTAGTATCTTATATCTGTCCCTGATTCTAATAACGCCAATCTTAAGTAAATCAGGTTTGCTTTTGCGGGGTGATAAAAAATAGATTGTAAATTTGAACCTCTTTTCGCAATATCTTTTGACATATCAAAACCACTCGATTAAATAATAGTAATCAAGTTGTATCTTACGGTATTACAAATTTTTAAAATAGATCTCAATTAGACCAATGTGAATTGAGTGATAATTCAATGTTAAAACTTCAACCTTGCATTTTAGCTAGAGACGCCAAATGTGCCCCTCCGAAGAAATATAATAACAATAAAACACAACGAAAAAATATATTCATAAAACACACTTAAGATCTAAAATAGCAAATAAATAAGATTTCTAGTAATGCAAATTTTTAGTGGTGTTCACGGTTTGACGGAAAACCGATCCAAACAAAAAATCGAACCAAACCGATTAAGTAAACCGATATTTTTTTTTAATTTGGATTGGTTTTGGTTTTAAATTTTAAAAACCGATAATATTTGGTTTGGTTTTGGTTCTATTTTAAAAAACCGAAAAATAAACCGAACCAAACTGATTAATTATATACAAAATTTAATACTTATTTATATACAATATAATATCTTTTTGTAAATAATTTTAATTGTTATTTTGAATTTTGGTTTATCCTGTTATATCTTAAAAGATTGCCTAAACCCAAAATAATAGGATTCAACCAATTGTTTTTTCATTAATAGACTCTAATTCTCTAACCCTCCGCACATACTTTTGCCTAACAGAAGAGTTAAAAAAAAACCATCACAAGAATAAAGAAAGCACATTTGAATTGCAAGACAACAATGGCTAAAGCTTGAGAAAGCAAACTTTTTGTTTGTTTTTTGTTCATTCTTTTCATATAAACAGGTAAATAAATTTTCAGTTCTGAAAGAAATATATAAAAAGTATAAATTTGGCAAATTATTTTCAGATTATTGTCTAGCGTTGTTTTACTATTATCGACTTATCATTAGCTTACTAAGAACCGAAAAACCGAACCAAACCGAATCAAACCAACAACAATCAAATCGATGGTTTATATTTAATTTGGTTTGGTTTTGATTTTTAAATTTTAAAAACTGATTAAATTGGTTTGGTTTTGATTTTAAAATTTTAAAAACTGATTAAATTGGTTTGGTTTTGATTTTAATCAAAAACCAACCAAATCGAACCGGAAACACCCCTACAAATTTTTATTGCCATTTATTTCTTCAAGTAAACATCATCGAATTGAACACAATATTCATCTACCAATAAGGACCTCTATAACAACAACGACACTTAGTACTCAATGAGTATTGTCTTGAGTTAATTACTACAAATGCATGTCTGTTTTACACATATTGGAGATCCAACGTTACATTTCATAAAACGTCCACAATCAAAGGTACCCACACACATGACCGTTCCTGGCGGTGGATCTGAAAATTAGAAAACTCGTTAGCACCTTGCAAACATATATATAACAAGTCGGAGAATATGAGAAAGGATGCATGTGAGAGAAGGAAGGAGAGACCTTTACATACGCACTTCCCACCGATACAACCTACAAAGTTAGGATAACAAGGCAGAAAACGACAATCTCTTATAGTCTGACATGATGTCTCACATGTCACCCCATCTGAAAAATACAAAATTGTTAGTCACTATATAAATTACGAATATGTGACAAGTAAAATATGCTGCTTCATGCTAAAATTAAACAACCATATATTTATCACATGTGATGTGAGTTTATAAGTGATTGAAAATGATTGAGACAATGATAAACTTACCTCTTGAAACAATCAATAAGGTGACTACCATAAAAAGAGTCAGCAAAGTCTTGGCCATCTTGTGTAGAAGAATATTTTTTTTAATTTACTTATAGTACTTATGATCACCATATTATATAGTAGTAATATTTGGTTCATTAAGATTCACGAACCTGCTAATTTTTGTTTGAAGATAAAGTTGCCATAATGCTATTTCCAATTAGGAAATATTTTTACTTTCAATTCTTGAAATTTGATTAGCTGGTCAAAGAAATTCTTTGGTCTATGGAAGGTTAGTGAAAGAAATTACAATATTACCATATATCAAAGATTTTATGCATCTTCTCATGAATATCCTGAGATTAAATTATTTAATTTGATTTGAAAAGTATTTAAATTTGACTAATCAGTAATTTTGCTTAGTACCATGGTTAATTAATTAATAATTACTTTTACTTCCATTTAACTTCTAATATTAAATAAGTTAATTTGATTTGAAAAGTATTTTCACTAAGCTAAGCCCCTCTCCAAACCCTACATCTCCAAAGAGCAAGAATGTTAGCATTTCCATTTTATGATACTACTTAATAAACATGGCATTTCACTATATCAACTATTTATCTGTTTATAAATTAAGCCAACACTCCAACACCTTACACTCTGTTTGGATCCTTGTCACCCATCGTTTTATAATGTATCGTATTGTAATGTATCGTATTTTATCGTATCGTTTTTATAAATACAATGTTTGGATAGATTGTATTGTATGCTGTTGTTAAATAACATTTTCTCGTTTGGTTTGACTGTATTGTGTTTTACTGTGACTGATAAGTTTACTAAAATACCCTTAATTGTTTTAAATATTTAATTATCAAGATTTACACATAAAATTATTTAAGAGAACACCTTTCTATATTTATTACCAATTATGTCTTATATATAAAATAAGTAATTAAATTCATGTAAATTCTATCGAAA